CCTGCTGAGCACAGAGACGCTCTTGTCCTCTACGGAAAACTGACAACAATCCTACAAAGCTTGTGTAATTTATTTCACCTAAGACTTGTATCCTGACTTTGTTTCCTGTTCCCTGCTCTGGGTGTCTGATGAATGTTATTTTAATGCAGCAGTTTGTATTGGTGAAGAGCCCAGTCTATTAAAATATCTCCCTCACCTTAGTGAGTTCCAGTCTAGATCAGGGATCAGACAACTATAGCCCATAGGCTAACAAATTTACATTTTAAAATAGTTGAGGCAAAAAAAATAAAAAAAATAAATATTTTGCATTAAGTGAAATTCAAACAGAGTCATGCTTATTCATTTGCATATCATCTATGGCCACTTTTCTACTTCAACATCAGGGCACAGTTCAGTACAGTTGGCCCTTGAACAACATGGGTTTGAACTGCATGGGCCCATTTATACATGGATTTTTTTCAGTAAGTATGTACAATACTATAACTATATTTCCTCTCCCTTATGATTTTCTTAATACATTTTCTTTTCTCTAGCTTACTTTATTATAAAAATATAATAGTATATAATAGATATAACATACAAAAAATATGTGTTAATTGGCTGTTCATGTTCTCGGTAAGGCTTCCGGTCAACCGTAGGCTATTAGTTGTAGTTAAGTTTTGAGGGAGTCAAAGGTTACATGCGGATTTGCAACTTTGTAGAGTGTTGGTGCCCCTAGTCCCCACACTGTTCAAGGGTCAACTGTAGTTTCTACAGAGACATGTGTCACACAAAGCCTAAGACAGGTACTAGCTGGGAACCTACAGAAAATGTTCTAGAAACTTAACAGTCATAAGTTTGACCCCTAAGTCAGCCAGAATGCAGAAAACTTTTACAAAGTTTTCTTTTCAAAAGGAATGGTTTGGGGAGTATCTGAAAAGTGACAGAGAACTTGGCTTATTGAAAGGGTGGGGACAGGCGGGGCACCGCCAGTGCCAGGCACTCACCAGTAGAAGTGCTCCTCCACCATCTTGGTCACCGCCCTGGAGATGGCTCTTTCCTGAGGCCCCAGGTTCTTGTTTAAGTTCACTCCAAGCTTCTCCTCCAGAAAGTCAATTATGAATTCTGTGCCAGAAACTTTTTCATGATTGTATTCAATCCAAGGCATTTTCCCTTGAGCAGAGAGTTTTCCACCAAAATAGTTCTAAGTAGAGTAACATTTAAAAAGAGAAAAGCAGTGTTTTATTTAATTTCACTGTGTGATTAACAGAAACAAACATCTCAACCATATATTTGACAGTGTCTATACTACTCAAGTGAATGTACTCAGCATATAAAATCTTAAAGAGAATAAATGGTTATTCTTGGGAATAAAAACACACACACAAGATTTACTGCACATGAAAATACTGCTTTTCTCCAATTGATTTTATCATGGGCTCTAGCTTATTGAAAGAGAGAGAGCCAAAAAGAAAGCATATATTCATGCAAAGGCTTGTACACAAATGTTCATAGAAGCTTTATTTGCAATTGTCCAACACAGGGGGGGAAAGCAAAAGCTCATCAAGAGGTAAATAAATAAGCAAATTCTGGTATAACCTTACAATAAAAAGGAATGAACTACTGATATACTCATTAACACGGATGAATCTCAAAATAACGCTGCTAAGTGAAAGAAGTCAGACCAAAAAAAGAGTGCTTACTGTAGGATTCCATTTGCTAAAACTCTAGAGAATTCACACTGATCCAAATATATATATATATTTTAGAGGCCCAGTGCACAAAATTCATGCAAGGGGCTTGGCCCTCACACACCCTGCTTCGTCTGGAAGGTCATCCGGACAGTTGGCCGGAAGGATGTCCAGGAGGTCATTCAGCTATTTGGTCTAATTAGCATATTAGCTCTTTATTATATAGGATATTATTCATTCATATTTTATAATATTTTAT